TGTGTGTCTGTAGTGTGTTGTGACTGTATGTGTGTGTGTCTGTATGTTGTGTGTGTCTGTATGTGTGTGTGTGTCTGTATGTGTGTGTGTGTGTGTCTGTATGTGTGTGTGTGTTGTTGTTGTGGTGTTGTGTGTGTGTGTGTGTGTGTGTGTGTGTGTGTGTGTGTGTGTGTGTGTATGTGTGTGTGTTGTGTGTGTGTGTGTGTGTGGTGTTGGTGTGTGGTGTGTGTGTGTGTTGTGTGTGTGTGTGTATGTATGTGTCTGTCTGTATGAGTGTGTATGTATGTGTCTGTCTGTATGTGTCTGTCTGTATGTGTCTGTATGTATGTATGTCTGTATGTGTCTGTATGTATCTGTATGTATGTGTGTCTGTATGTGTCTGTCTGTATGTGTGTCTGTATGTGTGTGTCTGTATGTGTGTGTCTGTATGTGTCTGTATGGCTGTATGTGTGTGTGTGTGGTGTGTGTGGTGTGGTGTTGTGTGTGTGTGTGTGTGTGTGTGTGTGTGTGTGTGTGTGTGTGTGTGTGTGTGTGTCTGTATGTGTGTGTGTGTCTGTATGTGTGTGTGTGTCTGTATGTGTGTGTGTGTCTGTATGTGTGTGTGTGTCTGTATGTGTGTGTGTGTCTGTATGTGTGTGTGTGTCTGTATGTGTGTGTGTGTCTGTATGTGTGTGTGTGTCTGTATGTATGTGTGTGTGTGTGTGTGTGTGTGTGTGTGTGTGTGTGTGTGTGTAAATGTGTGTGTGTGTGTGTAAATGTGTGTGTGTGTGTGTAAATGTGTGTGTGTGTGTGTGTGTGTAAATGTGTGTGTGTGTGTGTGTAAATGTGTGTGTGTGTGTGTGTGTAAATGTGTGTGTGTGTAAATGTGTGTGTGTGTGTGTAAATGTGTGTGTGTAAATGTGTGTGTGTGTAAATGTGTGTGTGTAAATGTGTGTGTGTGTAAATGTGTGTGTGTGTGTTAGTATGTGCGTGTATGCAAAAACGATTCACATCTATGCACGCAGACACACGCACGCCCATCCAGCCACACCGCAGACCCACAACCGAAAGAGTAAACAACAAAAATGAATTCAGGATCGGCACCAACGACCCTTTCCCTCGCCGCAGCTAAATCTGGCCTCGCGCCTCTGGCAAGAACGCTCCTTTCCACTCCCCTTCGCGCCTGCCGCCCCCTCTCCCCTTTCTCCTCCTATCCTTTCTACTCCTCTTCCCTTTTCCCTCCTTTCCACTCCACCCTCCTTCCTCTCCCTTTTTCACTCGACTCCTCCCTCAGTCTCTCCATTCTACACCCTCATCTCTTCCCCCTCACTGCATACCTTCCTCTCTCCCGCTCCCACCCTCCCATTTCTCACCCCCTTCCCTTCCATGCCTTCGACCCCCACCCCCCTTCTTCTCTTCCCTCCTTCGACCCCTCCCCCCCCTGCGCAAGAATTACCCCCCGGAGGGACTGTCACCGCCGCTTGACCACAGGTAAACAAGCTATTTACCTGCGCCTCGGGCCGTCCGCGTATCGTCGTCTCGGCTCGCTCACACGCTCGCGGGGTGAGCTTCTCTCGTTCGGGTTTCCATTCACGCGAGCTCCGTTCTCGGCGTGGCTCTTCTTGCTCCCGCTACTCGATCTCGGTCTCCATCTCGGTTGTTTCTTCTGTCTAATTTCCAAACTGCCCTTATCTTATTTTGTAAATCTTATCTTTTCCTATATCTATATCGCTATCTATTTTTAGTTTTATCCGTGTTCCCCTTTCTAGCCACGCTCGTACCTTTCCCAACCTTCTCGTCGCATTCTTTCTCAATCTCTCCATCTACAATAGCTTCATACCTCCCCTCCCTCCCCTCGCCCATTACCACACTCCACCAAGGTTATCTTCACCGGCCCGCGTAATGTATCAACCAAGCAATAAATACCGAACAGCTGATATTCAAACGGTGAAAGTAATACAGGCGTTGGTTCCGTCATAAATGCGACCAAAAATCGAAGTGGAAAAATATACAAGATAACACGTGATATTGCATTTTCTCCATTACCATGATTAATCATATTTTGCCCGGCCTTCATTTTCATTTCCCAGCAAAAGATCATTGTAAAATAGAGACGATAAAAATAGCCACTATTCACTTCTTTCCTTTAGTTAGTTTTGAAATGCCCTTCGTGAGATTTTCTTCAACTGTGGATTACAAACATCAACCGTGGAAATAAAAATGGTTCACACATTTTTTTCTTCGGACAAAGAAAACGAGAGAACGACAGAACGAGTGAACGTGACACATTCAACGCACAGGCTCGGCCCGGCCAACCCGAACGTGACAGACCGAAATCTATCCAACAAAGAACTAACTGCATCTTCAAGGAAAAAAAACACTTTCTACAACTTCCTATACTGCCGACACATATTCACCCTCCCTTCTCCCCTCTTCACCCTAATTCCACTCGCTTCTCTTTTGTCATCCACGCTTCCCCTTTAACCCCCTCCCCCACCCACTCTCCCTCTCCTTTAACTCTCATCTATCCATCCTCATCCTCGGTAGACCGCTTTCCAGCAACACCCCCTTCTCATCCATCTATCTCTATCCAACCGTCCTTCATCCCTATCTACCAATCGTTCATCCCAATCCACCGGCCTTCCATCCTAACCACCCTTCCTCATTCTCCTTCCAACGATCTTCCATCCCATCCACACATCATTATTCTCTTGCCACTCACCTTTCATCCTATCCACCCATCCTCATTCTCTCTTCGTCTATGTTTCATCCTATCCACACATCCTCCATCTCTTTCCACCCATCCTCCATCTCTATCCATCCATCCTCAATTTCTATCCACGCATCCTAAATCTCTATCCAACCATCTTTCATCCTATATACCCATCTTCATTCTCTTTCCACCCATTCTCCATCCCTATCCACCTATCCTTCATCCTAACCCTCCCTTCCTCCCTCCCTCCTCCTCTCGTGAGCGTGGCCTTGTCTCCATTTTGTCACCGTTTTATACATAATAGTTACAACGAATAAAAGCCAAACACGCTCTGACTCACTCGCCCGCTTATGAATTCACCCTCACAACTGACGCCCACTCCCTCGCGCCTCATTCCCTATCCCTCCTTGGGACGGCTCTCACAACGGCTCTTCATTTCACTCTGTCAATACCGCGTCCATTTGGAGATATTGCTCTTGTTCTTTTAAAAGCAACATGCTGACTCCAGGTTGCTATTTATGACATTACTAAACGATTGCGTACAAAATCCCCAAGTCAATCACCCTAGCTTATCTCTAGATATATCAGTCTAGAGATAGAAATTTCTGAAGTGAGAGCGCAGCTCGGAAGTCCAGCTGACCATGAGCTTTATCTCAATCTCGCGCACAGTGTAAAGAAGACCTCAACCCTTTTGTCTACAACTTTCCAAACTCGAAATGACGAAACTCGCTACACTCCTGAAATTCTTTTTTCGCTTCCTCATCCAAAGTTTAGAAGAGTAAAAAGTTTTTGGGGGAGTCTCAGTAACATCATATCCTTCTAACATGATACTTTATGCCTCCCCGAGTCACTTTAACATGGAAAGTGGAGATAAAATAAGAGCCAAAGCGTATATAATGACATATTGCCATGGACAATACTGATACAATACACCACCCTTTTTTCGTAACACATTTTAAACCCCACGGCCGAAACTAACCCACCCCAAAAACGATATACCACGAGGGAAAAGAGTGCCCCCTCCACAACGTAGACACCAGCTGAGTACTGACCTTTGTAGCAACGATGGAGAGGCCCATGCCGTTGTTGGACTTGTGGAGCTGAATCACGTGGATCTCGGGCTCGCCTCTTGGGATCGAAAGCGAACGGTTGCTCATCACGCTCGGGCTTCGCGGCTGTTCGGGAAATAAGAAATCAGAATGTCTTTAAGAATTTATAATAGGTAAAAATACTTTGATATTCATGAACACTTTTTCAAATTTCAAACGGATATATGGTGTCTGGCTATAACAGCAAGTAGTATCTTTGGTAAATCTGCGTGCTACAGGTAGATTAAAGAACACAAAGAAAAAAATACATTGAGTAGATAGAGACGGTCCTCTGGCATATAAATAATTCCAAGAGGCCTATCTAAATCAGTGTCATGAGCTGTGCTTGACGTACCCCTGGCGGCGGCCTCATCTCCTGGTCGTGCATGTAAATGGTCCAGTAGCCCGAAGAGGACGGTTGGGGGTTCATGCGGCAAAGCCCCGCGTGCTGGAGGGGGTTCAGGAACTCAGCCAGCCCTGACGGCACGCCTCGCACGATGTCGCACGAGTAGCCGTCCTCTGGCAGCAGGAACGGCAGCTGCAGGTCGATCTCCTCCTCCAGGCGCACCTCGCGCCCATCCTCTCTTGCCAGGCCGTCGGCGGTGCTCTCGGCCACCTGTCAACGAGAGATGATCATCAGTAACTCTTGCACAGTTTTGTGAGACTATATTTCATATCCGCTATTTCAAAACAATCTTCAAACCTCAGACTTCCATTTTATCTCAATGTAGAAACAAACACTTAAACAAGAATACAACAACTTTCTTTTTTAACTCTACAGTAACTTGCTCCCATTCTCCATCCCCCACAACACAAGTCCCACTTACAGCAACAACATTATCAACGAGGTCCTGGGGAATCCTTGGCTCATCTGGAGCGGGCTGGTATTTCTCCAGCAAGGCTCGCAACTGGAGGGAGTTGAGTTTGAAGCATGTGGATGATATTGTAGCTATGTCATCAGGGGCAGACTGAAATGAGGAAGTACTTAAAGAAAGGCTCTCCAAAATCAGTGAAGAGCAAAAAAATCACATACTAGCCCTGGAACCAATAACCATTTTTTCGTTAAAAAAAACTGAGAATCTACAATACCGACATCCGATGAGGAAAAAAACAATACAATAAATGAAAACTTGTTTCTACCAATCCACTCACCTTCTGTGCATGTAGCAACATTGCAGCCTGTGAGAGCCTGGCCAGGTGGCAGTCTGCAGCCAGCTCGAGGCCTTGTTTCTCCGCCCACAGTTCAATGCGAGCCAGTCGACGTTTAAGCCGGATGCCCCATACTCTGTAGATCAGTCACATCAATTATACAACTTTTGAAAACTAAAAATATACAAAGTAATATGTTTAGATGAATATAAAGCAAAACATCACCATACAGGATATCGTACTTTGGCAAACACAAAAATACGGAACATTCGAAGTCCAACAACAAAAAAAGTTTCTGACAAATCCTTCAAAGCTAAAGAAAAACACCGAGACATTTAATATTAAACATAAATTACCACCCAGAACATTCTAGATGAAACAAAATAAGTGTATATAAAACCACTTAAATCTAAACGAAAAAGCACGTCGTGGACAAAAATCATGTGGAAAAAATTAAAATCAAGCAAAAACAATCTTCAGAATATTCTAAATCAAATAGAGCTGTTCAAATAAAAAAAAATACTACTAGAAAAAAAATAATCAAACAAAAGTTTAACATTCAAAAATTCAAATAAACATTCAAGATCAAACAAAAACCTATCAGAACACAAAAATATACCATTAAAGTTTTCGAAATCAAACAAAACTTCCAATATTCGAAATCAAACAAAGTAAGTTCCATCAGAGCAGTGAGAACCAAACCAGAGTTTTCAAAATCAAACAAAAACATTCGAAATCAAACAAAATAGGTCCCATGAGAGTACTGAGAACCAAACCAGAATTTATCAACAGAATTAAAAAAGCTCCGTCACAACGTTCAAACTCAAACAAAAATCCCATACCTGGTGCAGTAATTGGGGAGCGGGTCAGCCACAATGCGGTTGAACACCCACATGTTGATAAAGTGGAAGAGCTGTGAGAACAACTGAATGGTGAGAGCAGCGTTTACGCGACACCTCCGCAGCAGGGCCATCGTGTTCGATAATATCGACAATACCTACGGAAAAAAAACATTAGTTGCTGGAAATAACATTTATGGGGGATGAATGTACTGAACGCGTGGTAAGGGAGGACTTATGAATTATGATACAGCCATTATATTTGTAAAGAAGACGGAAATCCTTGGATATACTCACGTGTGCTGTCGATCCTTCCTCCTCGTTCACATCATCTCGGTCTTCCAGGAACATTGGTAATGAGGTTGATAATTCTGCTTGCATGCAATCTACCAGACTCCTGGAAGAAAATAATAACGCATGTCAGACCGTAATCTATATTATTATTTTATGCATCGCTACTATTATATACATTCTATATTATCACTAGGTTTTCTAGGTCTTCAACATGAGCTGTCGTAGTATGATAACTTTTCAATAAAAAAGTAATTTACTAAAGTCACATTTCAATGTCTTCTTTCAGTTACCAAAAAGTTCTGCGTAACTTACCTGAATGCAACTTGCACAGCTTCTGCAAGAATGTCTTGGGCATCAAGAGAGTAGCCACAAATGTGTCGGTCTTGCTTCAAGAAGTGAAGCAGTTCGGACGCATTGGCCATCCAGAAGGCCAAAGATGTTGGGTCTCCGTGTCGAGACTGAAGGAGAAAGGAAGGTGAAAAATAGACGATTAAATGTCCACACTCTAAAGCCGCAACACGTACCCAAACATCACAAAACATAAGGAAGGATGAATTGTATACGTTTTGCTTTGATTTAAAACATCTAAATAAATATAATGTTCATGGAACAAAATAAAACACAATCTCTTGTACTTACGTGTATAACATTTTGAACCATTGCAGCAACCTTTGTGAGCATTTCAGTCAGCCTGTGGGCGCGCTCTGTGGGACTGAGCTCTGGGCGATAATGAGTAGATGCCCTGTTCGGAGGAGAAAAAAATACTAATGCGACAAAGGTAGCATTCTAAGTCTCTTTTCTATCCCATCTCTCTGAGGACTTCGCCTTTCTGACGGAAGAAATAACTCTTCTGTCTTCTATGTTGGCCATAGAAGACTCTTTACTGATTTTTAATAACTCTATTGGCCATAAACATTATCATCTCCTTGTAAGCATATCTCCTTAAAGATTATCCTGGTTCTAATTTAACACTATATTCATATATATATGTGTGTGTGTGTGTGTGTGT